CCCTGACACAAATCGCTACCTCTCAGTCCATTGTATCCTCAAACAGCTGCGGACGGGAAACGTCTGAAATCATGTAACCCACTGTTGCAATGAGCAACGACCCCAAATTTGAGTCTCGATGAACAGAGTGGGATGCCACAGAAGTTCATAACAAAAGATTTATCATCTGTCTCGCCTAACAACTCCCCTGAAATGTACTTGACTTACCATGAACGGTTAAGACTAAACCAGATTCGCAGACGACAAGGCCGCTGCGGACGACTCCTTCAACTTTCGAAAATGAAGTCAAGCTTGGAGTAGGACTGCAGCCATTAAAACCATACTATGCTGCATATCGTTTTATGAATAGCGGCTAAAAAATTCTACAGCAGCATAGCTGATGTTCAGACAATGGTTTAGAAATCAGGACATTAAAATACAAAGTTGCTAGTCACCCTCTCCGGCCATACGCCAAAAAAGTACCTGGAATCGAGGATCACCTAATTGAAGAAGAATATAGATCCGGAGGCGACAATCTGCCATTGAATTAGCGTCATCAGTGATTCAATGACTTTTTCGCTAAACCGCTGATTACCTGTAAAGGTACAATAATAATAATTAGATTTTGATGATTCGTCGGACCGGTTTCATATTGTGTCTTTTTTCGAAGAAATGCTCTTTTCTAATTACTCTCATTAAAATATTCTCGTTAAAACACTTTTTATCGGTTCGTAGTAAAAAGTAAGTAAAATCGTTCTCAGCGAACATGCGGCGTGTCATTGATAATTCACTTCTCGTATAAAAGCGATTATGAGTACAGCGAATGAGGCGAAAACTTTCCTAAGTTTCTATACCACACAAAAATGCTTCAACGACAAAAGATCCGTTTAAAATGGAAGAGACGAAAGCTGCACAGTTTCTGAAGTCGTCCAACGAAAGACGACTAGTGTTTTCTCTTGATTTTAGAAAACATCTGGTTTCTGGGTGTCAAATGTTTTACCAATGTTGGACGATCGCTTCCCTCGACTGATGATCACTCGGTCTCTAGGAAGACTTCGTGCATTTTTTGCTGGAAAGGCCTACCCATTCTTCTGTACAGTTCATCATTCCTCGTGATTTGTGGGAAGCGGACTCAAGAGGCATATTCAGTGATCTCTTGCCTTCGTCAGTCAAGCAGGAACCATGTGTTGGGTCAGGTGTTCATTGCGCCAGAGTCATTTTACACCCAGTCTTTCCATTGGCCGGGAATGAGATGGCTTGATAACCGAGTCCTGCGCGTTCGCTGCGGGTCTCTTCTCACATTTCTGACATAATATGAATGAACATGGAGGTTAAGAACTGATAAGCATCGCAAGAATCTGAAAAATAGCGAGGATCCGTGTTTCTAAGGATAGAGGGACTATTAAGCGATAGGGTATATTAGGTGATCATTTATCTCTTCTGCACTCAAGTCCCATTCATTGACTTGCTATCTTATAGTATATCCATTACGAGGAAAATATTGGCAGGAGACCCCATGAATATTTCAATCATTCGGTCTTGTGGAAAATCTTTTTGATCAGTTAAACAGATTTTTCAAAATGTTTTTTTCAATTGAAGGAAGTTGGTACCAGTTCGTACTTATAGCGATACCATAGCATGATAATTACCGCTATCATGTGATTTCGCAAAACTAGGTACGTTGCCTTCTATTATGACTTCTGCATCAGTAACTAACGATGCATGATATATGGATACAAGACAGTTGCAGTACTCAATCAATCAATCAATCAATTCCAAATAAGCAAATTGATGTCTATGTCGGTATTTTTATCGTTCGACGCTTCCGGTCCAAAGTAATTCCACTATCACTGTATGTCGGTGTTCGGTTGCGATTAATCGCCTTTTCCACCACTGTCTATCCGTATCTCGTCTCATCTATCTACTCAGTCGCTGAATTCCGAAAATCTTGTAATTGTAGTAAACGCAACTTCGCATTAATTTCTCATATTGTGTAATTCACAAATAATTTTCTTTATGTCTTCGAACGGAAAGATCTCGCAGCGGCTAACCAACTTCATGTCTGCATGCATTTTCGAAATCTTACTCATGAGCCACGGAATTGTGAATTTTAGAACTCAAAAGGGAGAATTGTGATTATGAATCATCATGGAATGAACCTGAAAGCATACCAGTGAAAATATATCATGAATAGAAAATGGGATAAAGCGTAAAATCTGTAAAGACAACTCTACGTCCACGACTTTCGCCCATGAAAGTGACACAGAACAAGAGGTCGAGATTGCCATGCCCGTTGCTTAAAATGTCTGTTACCTGCCACTCACTGCGTTTCGATGACCGTTTATCTTTTCAGGTCACTGCGGCACACTCGCAGGAGAGTGTGGCCAACGTTCCTGATCCTTTGTCTGCGTTTGAGTTTCCGTAACTCAGGTTATTCTTTGCCGTCTTCAGGGTCTTTGGCCGGCCGGTTGAGCAATAGTGGTTGTTTCGCATTTCTTTCTGGAGACATTCGCAAGACGCGTTCAGACTTTCTCAGCGACCATACACCAGGGCCCCTCGTATGTATGATCTCCGGGCGAAGTCGAGAGGCATGAGTGCGGCGATTAGTCAACAAAAGTCCCTTTCAGGAGCTTGTGTCTTGGCTCGAAGTACTT